TTACGATTTTCATATAACAGAAAAGTCTCGTGTTACTGTTACAAGGTTAAATAATAAAATTAAGGAAGATTTAGATACCCGCATATCGGAAACTTCATTAAGAAGAGTCCTTAAAAAATTAAGAATTTAAGTGGAGAAAAACACAAAATAATCGTGAAGTTTTGGTGGAAAAAATGAAAATAAGAACTTTAAGAGTAAAATATTTTAGATAAAATATTTTAGAAGTCAAAATAGACCAATCGTTTATTTAGATGAAACATATATACACAGCGGACATACTTCTTCCAAGAATTGGACAGACGATTCAACAAAAGGCACAGTTTATAGCTAAAGAATTAGTTCGCTCACTCTGCGTCGGCACTTTTCATCTTAATGTTCCAGTTTATACACTGCGCAACTCGGATTTGTATCCCTGGCGCATACAAAATCAAATCATAACCAATACAATATATGACAACCGCCTATATTCAAACAGCAGTCTTCTGCGCATCCTGAATTTGTATCCCTGGAGTGGATATTATTTTGGAACATTCAACTGGTCCAAGTGAGCTAACTGATTCTTTAGCAATAAACTGTACAAAAGGTTTGTTTTCTGTTACTTCTAAAGGCCAAAGGCTTATTATAGTTCACGGTAGGGGGGAAATGGGTTTTATCAAAAATAGTTTGTTGATATTCAAATCAGGGACCAAGTCTGGAGATTATTATTCCGAAATGAATTCGAAAAATTACGGCAAATGGTTAAGAGAAAAGTTAATACCTAATCTTCCACCTAATTCAGTAATTGTTTGTGATAGTTATCACAATGTACAGACAAATCGAGCACCTAATTCCAATTCTTTGAAGAATTATATGATTGAATGGTTGACAAAATACAACATACCTTTTTATCCAACAAGTTTGAAACCAGAGTTCTATGAACTGTTTAAATCTCACAAGGACCGTCATATAACATATGCATTTGATGAGTTGTGTCGAGAATACGGCCACACCGCTTTACGGTTACCCCCATATCACCCCGACTTGAACCCTATCGAAGTGTTTTGGGCAACTGTTAAGAATAATGTCAGTCAAAGGAATGTTACCTTTAAATCAGAAGACGTAAAACAATTAGCAGAAGAGGAATTTAACAAAATCGGTATGGAGGAATGGAAAAAGCGATGCGATCATGTTATAAATAATTGGTGTTTAAAAAATAATCTTCCATTAAATTCAAAAAAATGTAATATAGTGTCATATACCAAAAAAGATTTTCCAATTCTCTATAACTACTGTTTGGATGATGTTATATTAAATAGGCCTGATTTTGTTATAGATCTTGGGGTAAAGTTCGATAGAAAACTTACTTTTAATGAACATCTAAATGACGTGGTAAAAGCATCATTCAGAAATTTGGGATTTATCATTAGGCATGCAGTTGACCTCAATTCTATCGAAACCATGAATATGTTGTACAATGCGTTTGTCAAATCAAAATTAGAATATGCTTCAATAATATGGAAACCATTTTATGATATTCACATAAGCGCTCTTGAAAACGTTCAAAGACGATATCTAAAATTCTTGACATTTAAGATAGACGGAACATATCCACCAATTGGGATAAATCACACGTTACTTCTAAATAGATTTCAAATGCAAAGCTTAGAATGTAGACGAAAAAATCATTCGTTAATATTCCTCTATAAACTTATTAACTACCAAATTGATTGTTCCGAGTTATTAGAACAACTTGTATTTAAAGTGCCAAGAACTGAATCTCGAAACAACTTAATGTTTTATCTCCCGCTATCTCGGACAAATTTATTAAAAAACTCGCCGTTGTATTTTATGTGTGAAAACTGCAACAACCTGCAAGGTAGAATTGATTTATTTTCTTGTAAGCTTTCGCAGCTCAAAAAATTGTAAAGCTGTTTCGGTACTATTTGCTTGTGTATAGTCATTAATTTATTTAATTTTTTGTCATATTATGTAATTTTTGTTATATTGTGTAAGTTTTGTTATGTTGTGTAATTTATCTTATATCCAAATTATGTCTTATTGTGCAATATGTTATATTTATATTTACTTTTGTAATTACAATTTTTTTCCTGCTCTATAACTAGGCATTTAGCCTGTAGAGCAGTGTATTTAATAAATAAATAAATAAATAAAAATAAATAAAAACTCTGCTTTCAATAAACTTGAAAGTATTCTTATCGCTTCAACTGAATCTTGATCTTTGGCATCAGATATTTTTTGTTCTAGGTATTATACCTACTTTTTAATTAGATTCTCACAATGGAGGGGGCTAAGCACCCCCCAGCCCCCCTTCCACCACCAATGGTGGTGAAATTATCAGTTTCGCGGACGACACTGCTGTTTTATACAAATCTTCATAGTGGCAAAGTTTGAAACTAAAAATTGAGATTGATTTTCCAAAAATCTCAAACTGGTTAGCTTACAATAACTTTAAATTACAATAAAACAAGCTATCTGCCTTTTTCTTAATTCTGGTTTACCAAATTTAGGAGCCCTTAATCGCTGCTTTTGGGTCTATTTCTCTCAAATTTTCTATTAGTTTTTAGTCGCCTCCCTTTTTCCGTTATCGTGGTACTTTTTGCATTTAACACACTACAGGCATGGACACAGATTCCAGTATACAATGAAAACTTGCTGAAGAAAATAGAAAAGGGCGATAGGTCAATTTTTATTTTCGATACTATTGAAGATTTTGAGGAAGTAGTCCGGCAAGAAGCAGTAAATATTATCGAATGTGATGACAGTGATAAAGATATGCCTCTTGCACAACGCGCTCAACTTGTTTGTCAAAAATAAGATTTTTTTGTATAAATTTTACCTGTTTTTAATTTTTTTGAAAAATAACTCCATTTTTATTTATGCATAAGTAAATAAATATACCGTTCTATTTCCCGAATTTCCACATGTTTCAGGAAATTTTAAACTATATAGTGCAGTGAGAACGAATTTGTAAATTTAAGAATATATTTGTAACACTAAGAAAACCGATTTCCAGGGCCGCCAAGAGCCAGGTCAGGCCCCGGGACAATTTTCCAGGTCGGCCTTGGGACAATTTTATAAAAAATTTAAGCCTTTTCAATATCACATTTCTAAAAAAAAAAGTCTTCAAGCAAAAACTTCTAGAAGTGAAAAAATCCCTCTTGTGGCAAGTCCTCATTCGGGCCCCCACTTGAGTCCGGGTCCCGGGAATTAGTCCTGGCTACCCCCCCTCTCCTCTTGTCGGCCCTGCCGATTCCCTAATTTCCATCGATGAACGGCTTCTATTGAAATAATGTGATTGAATTGAGTAAAAATCGACAAGAAAATTGTACACAATATAGACAAGATATAGTGAAAAACTGTAAAGCATTTATTAAATTTTTATGAGAAGTGAGTGTTCAAATACATTTACCTATGTAATTTAGAATAATTGACAGGTATATACACAATATTTCTTTCGCAAAAACACCTTTTACAAAAAATTTTGCTACTTTTCACCTAAGTTTGTAAAAAATAAAAGACTATTTAAACAGTTGTCATTTAATTGAATAATTTGTATATTTTTAATTCATAGTATGTAATTCTTTACTGAAAACACTGAATTACAAAATTAGAGCTAAATTCATTGGTTATTTGTGGCCAGTGAATTATGACTGTAATTTTACAGTCGATTTATTTGCACCGAATCGTTGTAAAAACGCATTCGTTACTTAAAAATAAAAATAAGCTTGTAATATGTATTATACAGTAAAAACTGCATTTTTTTCACTTGTCAGTAGTTGTTTATTGTAACATTACAACCCTGTATGTAATATAACACTGTAAATTTACATATTACCCTGTAATTAGTTAATAACTGGATATGTATGTATATTTAAGAGGTAATGTAAGTTCATATAATATATGTAAAATTACAAGTGTAGAACGAATTTATAAATACTTTATAACTACAAAATATTTGTAAATTCACCATAGATATATACTTTTATTTTAAAAAGATTATTATAAAAATCCTTTTATTTTCTATTAATTACAGCAATTATGTAATTTTACAGAATTGTTGTTAGATTAAAAATGTGAAGCAAACTTATAGATGTTGTAAATTTACAAATAATTTGTAAACCCACCTATATCTTTGTATATTCATGAAATTATTGTAAAATAACTCTTATCATTTAAAATTACATGGTTGTGACTTTATTATCTAATTTTACATAATTTTTGTAAAATTACAAGGCTGAAACGTACCAAAATATTGTAAATTTACAGAAGATTTGTAAATTAATTCTTAAATCTGTAAAAAAATTTAAAATTTCTGGGTTTTCAATTTTGATTTATCCAGTAAGTTAAGTATAGATACAACAAATAAATTCATATTTTTACAATTAAAACTTGGTAATTTTAAAAAGTATTTATTAACAAAAAAGTTTATAATTTTAAAAACGGCGAAACTCTTTTTCACAGTATAAAAATCACTGTAAATTATGTTGTAAAATTTACAGCTATCATCAAAGTTTTTTCACATTGTACCTAATCACCAAAATTTTTTCAGCGGTTCTGTACCTATATCTTTATTTGTGCACATGTAATAATGTTAAATCAGGATAAGTAAAGTTTTAGATAACATAATAGGTAGGTATGGAGGTATTGAAAAAATAACAAAATCTCTTGGTATCTTGAAATACTTCTAAATAGATTTATACTTTTTTTAAGCAATTTTTTATATATTCTTAATTTCTGCAAGAATATTTTTTAAAAATTATTTGTTATTTAAGGTGATATTAAATACATTCAATTTTGCGCCATAAATCAAAATAACGATAAGCATTTTAAGAAAGACATTGTTTCCATTTTATTTAAAAATGTATCTTACCGAAGGTAAAAAATTGTTGTTTCTCCTCTATAAGAAATTTATTTTTCAACTTAATTTTTACGGAAAAGAAATAAATGAATGAATATAAATACTGTAGAAAAGACTTTTTTGGTAAAATAATAAAAATTACCTTATTGGAAAAAGTCACAACTCCGGCCAAACTCGAACTGCTATCAACACGGAAAAATCAAAAAAACCCAGTCACCCAAAAATCCACTGAAATACAGAACGACATACACCTTTTACTTTTCAAAAAAAAAAGTTCCCGCGACAAAAATCAAAGTAATCCGCGGCCGGGCGACTGCGACACGAACTGCGTGGACCGAAATCTAGAAGGCTCGGGGCGCGAAACAATTGACGATCGAAGGCGGGACTGATGAGGGCTCCCCCGGCATGAAACACCGTCCTTGCTTGTTGTTTTGTTTGGGATGATGCGTTGGGCATCGACTATCATGTGCGGATTTGATAGGTACCTATGTGGGTATTAGGGCATTTGTTACAAAAAAATGTTATCATCTTTTTGAATATTACTCGTTTTTTATGATCACTTTTCGATCTGTCAAGACATTTATCGATTTGTATGTACGTAGTATAAACGTGCTTACTTACTGTCAAAATATCATTTACTTAAACGTAGATATTTCCGATGTAGGTACCTAGGTTTATCTAACGCAATTAAAAAAAAATGATTTACTATTTTATTAATTTTAATTAATATGTTCTACAAAAGTATAAAAAAACTTTAACATGGTTTTATTACTATGATTTGTTTACAAATACAGATAAGAGACTCCCCACTGAAAACTGTACAGAGTTGTAACTAATAAATGAGTAAAAATAATAAAAAGAAAGACAACTTTATTAATAGTAATGTTCTTAAGTATATGCCTAAAAATATTAAACTGCATTCGTAAAATTAAATAGTTCTGTTAGATAACGTGGACCTGGACTAGGCGTTTCGGTGTGTTCCATTAGTGCGTAATTATTCAATATTTCAATTTATGTTATAGACACGCAAATAAGTTTAAAATAAAAGTTATGTGGACTTGAAAAATACATATTTTAAAAATATTTTTGGATATACTGTGTGTTGTGTTTTTGCCTGGCAAATAAAAATGTTGGAATGTTTTTAAATATTATTACAGTGTTGCCAAGCAATTAATTTTTTTATATTAGAGAATTAAATTATTATAATTTAGGTAGTGGTGATATAAGTAGTTTATTTTGTGTTTTGTGTTTTAAATATGAATAGTTTTAAGTACAATTTACTCAATTTTTTCAAATGCAAAGTAGTTGTAGTAATGATTAAATATATTTAAACTTTCACTAAACGACGTAAGAATCTAAAAATCATGAAGTAAGGCTGTCAAAAATAAAGAAAATGTGTAGACATATTTTTAGAATTTAAAATTAGATGGTAACAGTTCAGTTTTACTAAAAAAAAAAATAAAGAAATCTTTGAGTTGAAACTCATATTTGATTTGTTATGAGTTATTTAAAAAAAAAATCGTCCTCTCTGGCAACTTACAAAGGAATGAGTCTTTGCAAAAAATAAAATATCTGACACTGATTACAGTTATTAAGCACAGCTTTATTATAATTTATTTTTTGTTATCAGGGGCGGTTTCTCCATTGGTTCATTTGTGCAGTGATCACCCAGTTAAATTTCATCAAACATATTATTTTAAAATTACATAAATAACATAAAAATATAAATTTAATTTTAATATTTTTATTTTCATATGTGTTAATCTATATTTTTTGGTACATCATTGCTCTTTGTTTGATCGCCTCTCTGTGGCACATCATCTAAGTATACTGTGTCTGTGGTGCATTATGATGAGTGAGCCTAACAGGAGTGAGACGATTTGGCGAATGAACAGGATTTAAAGGAGAAGGCAACACGCCAACAGATCCTTTAAACTGCAAAAGAACAGATTAATTGGCGCGCCCACGAAGTATAGATATAAGGAGTCCGAACAGTATAGTGCTAGAGTCAGCGAATTAGGATATCGCCGCCACTGGGGTCGCCGGTACCACGTGTTAGAGTCAGCGAATTAGAATATCGCCGCCACTGGGGTCGACGGTACCACGTCTGCCCGTTGCAATGTCCTGGACCAGGAGAGCGGGGACTTGACTTTCGACCAGCCGAACGCTATGAAGTGATAAGCAATATGCTGTTAAAGACATTCTTTATTTTGTTCCTTAATAAATTACATTATAAACATTGTTTACTAGATATTCAATAAAACATTATAAACCCCTAAATGGGGGCCCGGTAGCGCTGTAAGGGGGGCCCGACAACAGGTTTTTTTTGTTCTGTATGAGAAATTCGACACAAGATGAGAGAGGGAAGTTAAGCTTAAATTAAAAAAATTAAATACAAGTAGAGGAAAAGTTTTAGTCTAGGGAAGTTTTTTTCGGCTGAGGATTTTTTTTCTTAAGAAGAAGTAATGAAAGTAGGGAGAATAGTTTTTTGATGTGAGGACCTTTTAGAAAAGATTCTATTTCAGCAGAAGAGGAACAGTTTTTGGCTAAAGATTTTTTTGTCACGGGGCCCGATCTAGAGAATTGTCCTGGGGCCCGGCCCGGCCTGGCTCTCGGCGGCCCTGCCTAGTACAATTCACAATTGTAGTAGATGTAGTACATTCTGCGTGCATCAGTGTTCACGTGTAAAATATGTATATATTGTGGTCCTTGTTTGGGGTCGTTTACATTTAAGGAATCTAGTACATTTTTTAGACAAATCTGGTACGTAACAAAAACATATTCTGGCAACACTGTACCAAATCATTTCGTCTTCCGTCATTCCTTTACTATGAAATGCTTTTAATAAAACTAAGATTATTTTATTTGTGCTCATTTAAAAAAATGTGACATTAATAAATTGAAAGTATATGTGTCAATTCAAAGATTGTTCCCGAAAAACTTCTTTAAGGTAAGGTAAATAAAAGTATTTTTAAAGTTTGTTTTATTTAACTATAATAAAGTTTTACGAATCTAATTTGTTTTATATTGCGTTTTAGTGTCTAGAACCATTCTAAGACTACTTCAAAATGGTCTGTTTTGTACCCAATTGTAAATACTATGAAGAAGTAAGCAAAAAATTTGTACATTTTATGTTTTCCAAAAACCCGCTAAAAGGAAAAATTTGATTATTCTGATAAGGTAACTACTTGACATTATTATGGAAATGGAAATGTACAATAAACGTTTGATAAAGATAAAGAAACAAATGGTGTTTCACTTTAAAAGTCTGAATTGGAAAAATGGATCAACCAGTTAATTTAATATACTCAATGAAAAATTTTTCCTAAGAAATGGTATGCACCTTTAAATAGTTTATATAAAGTTATGTTTGCCTGTAATTATCAATCGTGTTACCCTCTAGCCTAGATTGTTTGTTGCCTACAAACCTGAAATCTTTTATTTTAATGACATTTTTTATTGCCTTGTTTGTATAATTTAGTATTTTCAAAAATATTAGATGTATTGGTAATTTGGATCACTGCAGGTATTAAATAAAAATAAGGCTGTTGGTAAATTAGTTTACAGTTGATAATAAAGTATGTCTCGAAAAGATAAGTATCAAACATAAATTTTGATTTTGATTAGGCACTTAACAAGTCACATCCCACATATATACATGCTTTGGGTAATCAATCCTATAAGTACATATCAAAACATTAATTACTATCTACAATCAAACAATAATTTGAAAATACAGATGAAGCCGATTTACTTATTTAGACAAAATTACTATTATTCTGTTATTTATTAAAATACATTATTTTTTATTAAACATGAACATGCAAAAGTCTGCAATGAGGGTAGGACAGTAACGAGAGCAAGAATACTTTGGAATGTGCTGTGAAATACACTTAGAAACGGTCATACAGTATGACATACAGTATGACAAACAGTTTTGGTCGACCCTGTAAAAATAAATATTCAAATAATTACATCGTTGTAAAGACGATTAGAAGACCTTTCCAATGAGGTGTTTTGAGACACATGGTTGCATTTAAAAAAATTGCCGATTACGTCACCACGGTAATATTGGTGACGTAATGTTCGTTACATCTACATCATGTGATGACGATTCAAAAATTAAAATTGACCTGTTTTTGGATTTTTTTCAAAAGTCGATTATTTTAGAAATAATGAATTTATTCCATACATTAGCGACATACTGTATGGAGAATTAAGTGTGATAACATTTTACGATGTGTATCTCACTATTTTAGTTCACATATTTCTGTAAATGTTCAATTATGTGCTGTTATCTCAAACTTTTAGTATCCTTTGATAAAAGAAGTTGAATATTATTGTTGACCTCTATAAACTGTTTATTTTATCTTATACATTTTTTTTTCTAGTCTTCATATAGTATTCTTTGAAGAGATTATTATAGGTTTACTTTGTCCGTCTGTCCGATGTCATGTTTTTTGTGTGCACCATAATTCAAAAACGAGAAATATCATCTTGAAAATTTTAAGCAAAAATCAAGCTCTATAAGGGGACAAAGTCTATTGATTTTTAACAAATCTGATTAAAAATAGGGGGTTAAGATGGATTGAAATTAAAAAAAAATCCTAAATTAAAAACGAAAAGCGATATAAACATGAAATTTTTAGTAAAAATCAAGCTCTATAAAGAGATAAGGCCTATTGATTGTGAAAACAATCTGATTGAAAATGGGAGTTAAGGGGGTCTGTTAATCTGTGAAGAGTATTATTTAGAATGCCATCAGGCATTATATATCTTTATTCTAGTTTGTATCTGTGTAATATTATGTATTGTGATGGGTGATGGGACTGATTTTATAAAATAAACATTTTAGTTCTTATTTTATTTGCTAATAAAAGGCATTTAAAAAATATATTTTTTATTTGACATCTGTGACAAATTGTGAAAATGATTAAACTTACAATAAAAACTGAAAAAATGGTAAAAAGTTTCAAATATTTTTTACACAAAAATCAATGTCAAGTTTTCTACATAACCTGATATATATTTAAAAATATTCTCAAATTATATGAAGAAAAGTCAGTTTACTAACTAATAATGTTTACAGATGGTTTTAAAAACAAATATTACACTAACTAAAATATTCATTTATTAATAGTTTTAGTGCTTGAAAACAGTTATGATGTTGATGATAATAACTACACTTAATACAAACTCAAATAGTAAAAAAAACAGCGATATTGGCTCCCATTTTAAATTACCACAAGCCGCCACTGTTTCTTATATTTTATAAAATTATTGAATAAATTAATAGTTTTTACTTGAATAAATTAATAGTTTTTACTTAG